GCTTCTTGGATGAGAGGTGAAACGTCTTCAAGCAACTTATAGCAGTCCAGACGCTTTTCTTTGCAAGCTCCTTTGACTAACAAAAGGTTAGAAGTTCAAAAAGGAAGCTGAGATGTTACACATCTGTCTTAAAAGACTGTTCAATGTGCAATCTCCATTTCTTGGAATAATTGGAATTTGATCTACAAAACATGACTATGCATCGTACACCAACCATTGTTTCATGCTTGAAACTCTTGGAGAGAAAAAGAACTGAAACTAAAAGATAACTACCAGCCCCATCTGTTATTTTCTTTTATACCTAGTTTCAATTCTATTTTCAAAGTTTTCACAATGTTTTTTTCTTAAATTAGTGATTTAATTCACAACTTATATCCTCTGATGAATTGCCCACTGCTTCATCAGTCATGGATTAATGTTTATTTCTTTGATAGTTTGGTGAATTCATTACTCAAATCCTCCTCCTTAGTCCTGTTAGTAATTCTTTTGATGCTGAATCAGACCAAAGCTCTTTAGAAGGCATTAACTGTGGACCTGGAATAAAATAACTAAAAACTGCTTTTAAGTTTTCTTTTGTATGTTTTTGGGGTTTTTTTATGTTATAATGTGTCATAGAAAGAAAATTAAACTTGCCGACTGTGAGATGGGGCTCCTATAAAGTCAGTTAAAGATTATTTAAATGAATACTTTGGCTTTCTTAGGAAAAGGCAATGGCTGATACAAGTATAATTAATTCATGTCAAGTCTTGTTCCAGTTCTAAGTACGGATGACTCAACACTTTCATGTTTCTACTTTGTTATTGGTTCATTTCTTCCTTGACTCTTTCCGCTCCTTTAATAGCCATATTAAAAGCAATATGCAAACACATCCTGCTTGCATTACTCTTTTTAAACTCTTCAGCAAAAGTAGCAAAGAATAAGTCATATTTAAAATGCTTTACTTTTCTCATCATCATAAGCTTCATTTTTGGCTTTCTTTGGCCAAAAATCTACTTGCTAATGAAAACAGTTCTCATATCACATTCACACACCAGTGCACTTCACAAAAAGACTGGATTTACTTTTCCACTGTGTTTGAAACCACAAAACACGTGAACAGCTTTATACTAACAGCTCTGGCTTTGGCTCAGGACATCAGTTGCGACCGGTTA